TATGTATGTTATATATTCACGATATTTATAGGTAGGCATTGCCTTTTCGCCTATATGGACTGCACGCCACTGCAATACACATGCTTTGGCAACAGCTACAGTTTTAGACCAAATGGGTCGAGTTTCTTGCCTATTTTATTTTAGGACGTTATTAGGGAGTTGTGAAACCATGTGCGTGCGTGTTCGTTTCGCACGCATGATGATCTAGTTTTATCCACATTTAGTGTTCCACTTCGCCTGATACGAAACAGATACATTCCTTGTACATTTCCGATTTTGAAATAATACAAATGCATTCAGGCTGCGGTGAATGGAAACTTGAATAAATTGTCGTTTGATCAATACAAAAGAGACGTTATTATTAAATATTAACTGTTATTTAAACAATTGACAATTATGGTATAAGTATACACACCATTTTTAAGAATAATTTATGAAGACATTAAAATTTTGCATAACACATGTGATTTATGAATATCATTATTCCGTCAATGGTAACATAGCTTCAGCTTCCCTCACGTGGGTGGATTTTCTGAAGAATGACATCACACGATTACTTAAATGGATGTTCATTGTTGTACTCAATGAGTGTTGCGAAACTTGCATTATCTTGTCTTTCTTCAGTACAAAAATATTTTTAAACCATTTACGAGTCACCAGGTTTATTATTTATCAAACCAGCGCCTAAACTGACATTGTTTTGTCTATTACCGATAGGGAAAATTATCTAATCTAATCTAATTCTCAATTGACAACTAATCTAACTAGAAAGTACAAATGGTGCACCGTGGATCAGTTTTTTTTATCTTAATAGCCGTAGATTGTGTATGGAAGGGAAAAAACTTTAATATTCTGCATGTCCTTTGTGATAATATAAAATACAATACTGATTGTTGGTCCAGATCCAGACTATACTTGGACATATCCGCAGGTAGATGTAGACCTATCCACGTATACATATTATAGCAGTCGAGTGCAATTGTGTTTATTTTTAAAGTCGTCCAGTGTAATAGGAATCTTGATATGCTATCGGTCTAAGCTGTAAGACTAGCAGGGTGGCTCATATTAAACTGGCGGGGATTCCTAGCCATCTTCCATTTATTATTCATTTGGACCGTCCACGCTTGCATTGCTCGCTTCCGTTGTGCTGTCGTTGTAGCCTGAATGCTCTCATATTACATTATGACTGCTATATCATGATACTAGTTCCTCGCGCATTGACTGAAATTAATACCTCTAATACTATCAGTGCCTACTTTCAGTAAGCACTAACTCGTTAAAATTTCACGCACTCTTGCACATAACTGGTTAGTGAGCAAGTAGTATACTGTACGATCTAAAATTCAACAATGTTTGAACGGCTAAATGGCGAACTGCAGACAAGTGAAGCATTTTTATTCAGTTATTAATTTGTTGCATGATGGTCGTTCGTATTTGTTTAACATTTTACTACTGGCCGTGGCACATCTAAACCTTGCAAATCGCCCACACGCTTTGTAAGTTTTGTACCGTTTACCAATTACAATGAGATAGGCACCTATCATAATTACAATCAGTTGAACTAAACAATTCAGTTACTTAAAAGTATTTGTTCAGTTAGGTGTTTTGAACGCAGCCATACTTATAAAAAGTAAGAAACCTTTTTTCTACTCGAAGGTCGTGCTTGTATACCTTTTTGGTGACTATAACTTTCAATCTAAACACCAGTATACACGGCCTTACTGTGCACTGAGCACGTTGGTATTGATTTACAAGGTAGCTAACAACTCGCCAATCACGCAGAGACAGATCTTTATTCAATCAGTCTCTGCTCTGCGATTCATCTAGAGCGTGGTCTTTAATATTAATGTGTAGTGCACTCGGACAGACACACATAACATGTAACAAAAGATAAACACTAAACAGTGAATGGATAAATATGTGTTGCTAGAAAACAAATGACGTGGATACCGTATCCATGGCGGTGGGTCGCGCGACCGGTAACCGTGACGACAGTTCTCGCCTGCCGCCACTGAGCCTCGGACTGTCCAGCGTCCGATTCATTGTCAACAAACTCGAAGCGGAATACGCACGTGTTACAGCGGCCGACACTTTCGAATCCTGCCAAGAACTTGTCAAATACGACCCGAACATCGACGAGGGCTACGACGATTACGATGACTCTCTTCTCGGTCAACCGAGAGGACAAGTCTGGAATCGCTTCGTAACGAACCTAGGATTGGCTCTGAGCAAATGCATTCCTAGTGTCTCGTTTGGGAACTTTGGCCTATTCGCTATAACGACAGGATTCTTCGCACCGAAAATGATCACTTATCTAGTGGTGTATCCGTTTTGCAGATTGGTTTTCGGGACCCTCTACCCGGCTTATGCATCATATAAAGCTGTCCGGACGAAGAACTTAAAGGAATACGTAAGTACAGTTATACTTTTTTCTTTTCTCAATAACAGCCCATTCTCTGTGCCCCATTTTCAGTGACGCTTAAACCATTAGGATACAATTGAGTAACATTACTGTCTATAAGCTTGAAACGGCAAGTAATTGTCAAACGACGAATTACCATTCGTCGAGAGTCAATTTGGCGTTGAAATGAAAAAATGTGTAATTTGCTGTAAATGGTTCAGTAAAGTACGATGGCGACCTTGTTATGGGCGTTCGCTCGTGTTTGAAACGCTTCGGTTCCCACTCTGTCCTTTACCTTGTTCCCGGCTTCCTATGACTAATTACTAGCCGCCACCGCGCCGGTAGCTCAACCCAGCTCGCGATTATTGTTTTATAAACAATGCCCAGAATAAAAGAGTGCCATGATCTATGAATATTTGGTTGCTGATGTCAGGCTTGGTGCAATGTTTTTTTGCAATTAGTTACTTAGTATATACATACACTTTTTCTATGAATACCACTTTATTAATAGGTATGCACCTACAACAAATTATTATTTATACTCCATTTTCCTTATTATTGAAATAGTGTTGTTCGGTTTTGTCGTTCTAATAACCGTTTTAATGTTCTTTGAAAACACTTCATTTATTTTCCGATGTTGAAATACGACAGTCGGTTTGCTTTCCGTCACCTTGGAAACCGATTTAATTGACTAGGGTTCGCTAATACAATGTAAGTACCTACATAACCAACAGTATAAGCTATTATTTTCACCTCTCCTATTCACATTGAATCTACCAACCAGTTATCCTGTTTGGACGCTGTATAAATATTTTAGTCCTCGTTTTAAAATAGGTATATTAATTAAATCTTTCTTTAGTTAGGGTTGTCTGTTTCCGGAGGACACGGAGAGTGGAACTATTATTATACTGACATATCCCCTGGAAGTTTTGAATTCCTAGTGAAGAATTTATCAACATCTCAAATGTTTTTGTCAATTTCAGGTAAAATGGATGATGTATTGGATAGTGTTCGCTTTATTCACTTGCACGGAGACGTTCACGGACGTGTTCCTGTCATGGTTCCCCTTCTATTACGAAGTGAAGATAGTCCTGGTATTGTGGCTGTTGTCTCCAGCCACCAAGGGTTCCTCCATACTGTACAGGAAGTTCGTGCACCCGGCACTCTGCAGGCGGGAACAAGTAAGTAACAATAATACTATTTTGGTCCTACAATTTTTTAGTCCTATTCTATTTTGAAATCCTTAGTCTCCAACAGGATACAGTCATTAAGGTCATTAGTATAATCAATGATAATGGATATAGATTTAAATTAAATGTGGCAATTAGCAGTTCAGACAAGTTTAACAAAATCGACGTTGATACATTTTCACAATAGTATAATACGAGTCGACTTTTAGCCTTTTGTCCTGGGTTTTTCCGTCAATAATCGATACGTAAGTCTAGCGTCTATAAGTTCGTAGTCATAAAGGTAATCATCATAATACGATTATACGATGTTGATAGTAAACAAACAGATCTATTGTTTACTTACACATCTTGTTTTAATTAGAAAACCTTTTGTATTCACAATGATACAATGCGACTAAACGCATTAGAATAGTTACTTAATACATAGAAAATGTTGCTTAGTTACGGAAACCTTGAGCTTTTTTTAGCGAATTTCCGAGTACTATAAACGTTTTAATACAAAAGGTAGTAAGGCTATGCGAACCATAACTATAATTTTGACTAGCTACGTTTCGAAATAGATATGCGGAAACTCATAACTGTAGCAAATAACTGAGATGCATTAAAAATTAATTGCGTAGGCGCGTGAAATGGGCATTATGAAATCCTTGACTCGTACCTACTGTTGTTATACAAAGAAATTGGGATTATTTAGAGTTGATTTGGATTTAGAGGAAAAACTCATAGTACAGAATCGTCAGAATAAGTCGCTTTCGGTGATATCTAAGCTTTTTCCTATATCATGACTTGTCTAAAACATCATTTCAGGAAAAGAAATTCAGACTTACAATAGATAGTGTTATTGTATTGTAAATTTACTTTAAATGCAAAATTGTAATTTTCCAGGAAATAGATGAGTACATAGCGAAGGCCAAAGATCAGGGTTACCACACAGTGCTCAATTTGGGCACTAAAGGTGTCAACTATGCGACCACAGTTATTATGCAGACCGCCATAAAAGTAAGTTTCGACAACCTTGCAATAACCATTGTGGCATGCTTTAACGACGTGCTCTCATTATAAGATCTGTAGATAAACAAGACGTTTATACTTCCGGCAGTTCTTTAATGAGCCAAATAAGGGTGTCGGTGGGCTTTAACCCTTAACAAAAATACACAAGTACAAGTGTTATTTAGTTATTTAACTTTGTGTTGTTTTCATACCACTTAAAAGTTGTCACAGAACAATTAGGTTTATCAAAGCTACAGTGTGGCATGTTTGATTACAGTGTGTATAATGTAAATAAGCTAGCTAAACATTGATTTACACCCACGGTGCTGATTTGCACACAGCTTTATGTGTTTTTTTTTTCAAATTAGCCTTATCGCACTTAGCAAGCTAGCCATCCAGTAGACACCAGTCATTGGGCATGACCACATCATGACCACGTAATATCTCAACTTTCATACCAATTAGCCCAAACCACATAGCCGCTTTGTTTAATTTCGTCTTTTTTAATTTTATTAACACGCTTTTTTAATTTCTCCCCTTCCACCCCCCATCTTTTCCAAATATCCTTTCCATTGCTGCTTCACGCAGAACTTCAATCTGCCGAGTCCCGAGCAAGATAGAGATGCGCGTGCTAGACAAGCGATTAGAGGCCGTGACGTCCCCGACGGTGGCTACCAGGATACCTACGAAGACTTAGAGTACCAGCGTTCAGACTTACCTGGTATTGTGGAGATAGTTGAGCTAGATCGTGACGATGAGCCACAGGACCATCGGATGGCAGCTGGGGATGATCATGATCCAGACTACGAACCTGAAGACACGGCGGCGCGGAGTCGAGGCAACGTCGTTCGTAAACGTAAAGTTGCCAAAGAGAAACGACCTCGGAGCAAGTCCCGAGGTCGCCGCACCAGGTCCCAGACGGCCGTAGACAAAGAAAACAATGAAATTATGGTCGAATGAATAACGAGTGCGAACGAAGCTCAACTGTGATGTTTAGATAGTTTTAGACAACGATTTTGGTGACCCGTTGTTTTTAAAGTATCAAGTGTATCACAATATTTTTTTAGTTCGAATAGTTACGAAATTTCAAATTAGCGGTTGCCGTGGCCGCGGTATTGGGCATTACTTTGGTTTACACGTGTATTTGTCAATAAAAAAGTCTGACGTGGATTGTATGATGAATCTTGCAATGTATCGCTGCTTCGCATTTTCCACAAGTTCTATGAAATTGTTTTGATTTTCCTACTACAACGGACTGAAAAATAGACGTAATTTTATTGCTCCGGATTAGTTTCGTGATTCGGTAAGATATTTTATCGCTACCACATCCGACATAGTAGGAAAATATATTTAGGCTATTGACTCATGTTGATAATCTGGATGACGAATTTTAGTAGCACCGCCCGCGCCAATACCCTGAGAAACATATCATATCCTTAGATGTTAAATAAAAATAAATGCTAGATATGTGAGCTTTACTACCAAAAGATTTCGAGATCTTGATAAATGTCTAGTTACTACTATTTTTATCGTTTTTACCACGAGGCTATGCTGGACAAAAGCCTCTCATATTGATTCTGAGATAAATAAGGTCCATATATTTTTTTATCAAGTTTCTTATTTTGTTGATGATTTCTAACGCAACATATTAAACCAAAGTATCTTATTCGTGCCACTGTTTATACGCCATTTTGTATTCACTATTTTATTGTAATATTCGTTTTTTTCTTCTTACTTTTTGAAATTGTCGAATATTTGTAATTTTAGCTTAAATTAGACATTAGTACAATTTACACAAAAAATGCATTTCAATGAACAATGCAACGCGTCTCACTGTATTTTTAATGATTTTTGTTATATTTTTTTTTTGCTTTAAATTATCTGTTCCTAAACTGTCCAGCACAAACTCATAGACAACTCAGCATATTTAATGTTATATTTACATCGCATGACGTTTGTAGTTAATTATATGACTAGTTTATATTTGCAAAGATGTAACAAACATGGCTCTGGCAAGTTACATGAAGTTTTAAAAATAAACTGCGATGGATGATATGTAGTTGAATTGTATTACAGGTATAGTTTATAATGCTCATTGCTAGTACTTCATCCGACTTTACAACTCCGTAAACTTGTCTGCATGAGTGTTACACCTAGAAATAACCTATTTGTAAAGAACGCATGTGTTGTGAAACCACCAATGTTGTGTATTGTGTTACTTAGATTTAGTTGTGTGACTGATTTAGTTTAATAATCAATGATTTCTCAATAAATAAATATCATAGTGTCCTAGCCATCGTTTATTATTGTTTAAAGCGTAAAATATCATCGCTTCAATAAAAATTATGGTAGCATGCGCTTTGCCTCACAAAGCTTTGTGTAACAGAAAATACTGCTGATTTCACGTAAGTATTTATTTTTGTAATATTTTTTTCTCAACTATAATCTTTGCAGTAGAGCTTACAGTTCAAATCACGTCCATCATCCAAATGACGCTATTAAATTCGCCTTTGAGAAACCAAATAGCAATATTTATTTGCAAACAAATATTATGAATTATTTTACAGCAGGCGCATAAATAATTTCAAAACTATTTTTCCTGTAATATTCATTCAAACTATCTGTACTTGGCTATATCTATCTATTGTAAATATGTGGATATAATTCCTCAGGGTGGAGGCGGGCTAGTACAGCAAATACGCAAGAGCTACAGCCTGTCGGACCTGACGGAGTGCGAGCCGCGTGAGGAGAGAGGAAGCGATGAAGCCGATGATGTGCTCGCCGAGCCCAGACTGTTACGACGAGGTGGTAAAAGGTGAAATATGATTTTTAAATTATTAATTGTTTTATACAAATCTTAGAGGTAGGAAGATATAGTTGATTGGATCCAGCTAGTTATTTTGTTTTAAGTGATTTCACTGTTACTGGGTTTTAAATAAATTCTCAGTAGTAGTACGGAGTCTAGAATTGTGCCCGGTATATGGCAATAGGCTCACCCCCTATACCATGGCTCTCATAACAAATAAACAGTGTAAATGGGTGTTACATTGTACAGTGGCATTAAGCACGGCGCTTAATGCCACTGTGTGCTGATGTGCACCTCTGCCTTCCCCTTCGGGTATAAAAGGCGTGACGTTATAATATGATCTCAATCGCTGAGCGTGCATGAAGAGATTGATGATTGGAGATGAAGCTAAAAGCAGAATGATTGTGACAGATTAATTAATGAACAACAGGTGGCGTATTATGACGTCTTTAAAGCCAGAGTGGTTCCACTGTGCGAACGAGATCTCGCTACGCGACTTGTATAGCTCTGTTTCTTTCCCTCAATTGAATCATTCTGACTGTAGGATGTCGTAATAACCCCGCAGAGCAAAGAGACGCGCTAAACCGCTTGAATTTATCCGCATAGCCTAGATAGTGGCCTGATGATCATTTTGTAGGTTCCTTTTCAGAACTTTATATGGCACTTAATACCAAGCGTGAACAACCCGTCTCGACTCTGTACGAAATCATACAATACAACGATCAATCGACAAAATGTATATTTAATTGTTTGGTTTGTTTGCAGTGGTTTCTCCACCCGTCGCAGCGCTTCGGAGTCGAACAGTCGTTCTCCTATGTATTTCCCCGAGGTCGAAGTTGACGTGAGACCTCGACCTAGAGCTGACGAACCAGATTTCAGGTGAGATTATTATTTTATTTATTGGTTGGTGTCCTGACAACCTTAATAAGGCATACTCTACACTAACATTTTGAAAGGAATTCTTCTCAGTCGTTGATTTGACGTAGTGGTAATGGTATCAATTTCACTGCGAGGACCGCCCTGAGGACACGGTGGAACACACTGTCGCGGAATGCCCTGCGTGGGCTGAGCACCGCCGTGTCCTCAGGGAAGTGATCGGCGATGGCGACCTCTCGCGTCCGGGCCTAGTGCAGGCCATGATGCGGAGCGAGGGGGACTGAGATGCCGTCTCCTCCTTTTGCGAAGCAGTCATGCTAGCTAAGGAGGAGGCGGGACGCGTGAGGCAGCGAAGCGCTGCCTCCTCGCAACCCAGCCATCGCGAAGGACACACCGGGCGTTTGGGATCGCGAGACGATCTCCGGCCACCGTAAGCGCGGGCCTGCGGACGGCGAGCATGGGTGGCTCCCCGTCCGACCAGAAACAGACCCGAGCGTACGGCGGCGAGCGTTCCGCGCGCGCCTCAAAGAGCCATCAGACCACCACAGATGGGGCCCAATAGGGCCGATGCCGATTCGGAGTCGCGGAGAACCTAACGGGTAACCGGGGCTCCGGCTCGACGTGCAGGAGATGGAACGGGGTGGTTTTTAGTCAGTAAGAGTCTGACACTCCCTTCCGCCTCACCCAGGCGGGAGCAGTAATTCGATGATTTTCCCCCCCTTAAAAAAAAATGGTATCAATTAGAAACAGTTTTGTTATACAACACTATTTTAATTGGTATATCGTGCTGTGTTTTCACCGATTCGAAATTCATATTCGTAAGGGCTTAGTTGGCCTCTGGAGTTGACAATAGTTTTATCTTGTTACTTAATTATTAAAATAATGTTTTTTTTTACAGTCACATAAAGTCAACAGAGGACATAAGCTCGGGCTACTCAAGTGCGGACAATAGTGCATCACTGACTCGTACGGCGTCGCTCGGCGCCGGCGCACGCGCACGCGGCCGTACTACACGTACTACCGTCACTACTATCAAACGACCACAAGCTGCCGAGGTCTGGTAACACCGATACTATAATAACACTCTGCTTGAGCGTAGTTACTGGGACATGTTAATTAATTTTGTCATAGAGTAGTCAGTGAAGCGAGCAAAACGTTTGGCCTACCAAAAGCTTTGACTGTAGACAGAAAACTGTTGAAGACAAAATGTCATCTAATAGGTCTCCTATGTTGTGCCCTTTGTCGTTTAATGTGTTAGACTGCTACTTCATTAATTTTTCACAGCCTTGTACGTCCTGCGCATATAGCACACCCAGATCGGAACAATTGATGCGGGGAATAGATTTCTTTATTATAAAAGTAAACTTTAAACCGATGCAGTCAGGTTTTAAGTCGGAAATCTTGAACATCAATCTCGTTTCATTGACTTCTAAATACCAATAACTACGCTCATGCGCCAAGACAAGGATTGCATAAGCTACAGAAACTTCACTTGGTATAAACATTCGATTATGTTTAAATTATATTCGTCGGCTTTGTGTGTCTTGAAAATTAAATATTTAATTAAGTCTCTGTATAGTATGTAATCTATGGTCTAGTCCTTGTTCCAAGACATGTTTCTTTACAATTTGAATGCCGGTTTCAATAATTTAAAAACTATACAAGGAGATCACTAAACTTGTGTCCTTTGTAAAATTCATGTACTTATATCATGTTTTAATTTTCATTGAGTTTTGACATTTTATTGAGACAGACATGTTTAATTTAGATTAAGTGATTTGTTTATTTAGGCTTATCGTTAAGTAAGAACATAAAAATCAAGGACTGTATTGTCGTTTATGAAATTGTTACGGTCTACTTATTTTGTTGAAACTGGCATTTAATATTAACTAACATTACAACATAATAATATGACAATGCAAAATGTGTTCAATGCAAACGCACAAAAATTAAAGTACCTGATATTTTTTGTACTGACAACTTTCACAGATTAAAAAAATCAAGTGACATGTTTTGAACAAGGGCTTTTGGCATTACTGATTTTGAATCATTGAACTGTCATAATTGTTTCGTTCACATAAAATTACTGTTTCTTACTTTATGGATGAAACAATTATAACTTTAACTCGACATTTATATCACGTTCCATACACTAATTTTATTTAATTATTTTATTGGAGTATTGTACTATCAAATGTTCTATGGGGATGCATTTATGTCGGGGAGTTTGGTGTTGACTTGCTTTCACACTTACGGATGTTTTTTTATAAATGTTGCTATGTGCCTATGTGAGGCTTTTGTGTATCACTTTAGACGAAGTTATACGAGGTGTTCCAGAATAAACGAGACTAAACAGGTATTGTTTCAGACCACGAAAAGAAACTACTTTTGTTCTTGCACTTTCGAAAATGAAAGAAACAATATTACGAAATTGCAAACAAGAACTTACGAGTTTCGACTAAGATCAAAGCATAGTGGTTTTGTTTTATGGCTCGAATCAATATCTGCTTGGTCTTGCATTTGTCCTGTTGCACCTTTTGTTTCAAAACAACTCCCCTGCATAAATGTTTTATATTGTTTGGTGTGCCAGGGTATGATTGGTGCTGGATCTTGGTTGTAGCCAGAACATTTCTAAGCAATGTGTGAAAATCAATTAAATATTGGCTATTTGACTGAACAAATATATCTTTAAAAGAATGATGTCTTTTTGGCGGCTAGGTATGTGTAAAGGCTCAAATGTAGAATTACATACCTACCTATCGTTATTGCTATTGGCTTCGAAATATATTTATAATTGTTTGTGTATGATAAAATATAACGAAAAGTATTATTACTAGTTCTAGTTAAACAGATTGGCTTACTAAATAAGGATTATCCTTCACATTAAAATAATATCGGATTCTTATTTAATTTTATTTTAGAAATAACATTACCAAAGGTTTTATAGACATAGTTTTCTTATTGCATGAGTTAGTGTTAATATCAATGGTTACACCAGTTTATCACTAGCATCACTATATTATGCCAATAAGTCTGTTTATTGCATTTATTAGCTTATATTTTGTTTGAGTTTTTCTTTATTTTGATATAGACTTAAGAACTTTTTATTTAAAGGAAAATGAAGTAATCATCGAGGAGCTACACGACGACGATAGTTTTGAATATTCGAATATGCCCGCTCTTATTAATCTCCCGTCTCCTCTCTATTTGTCCCACACGCAACCCCCCTTCATATACCAATATGTTGGCGACCAAGTAAAGATCCTCCAAGTACTAGGTAATTACCCTTTCGCTGCAAATGTTAATAATCAAACTAATAACAATACAGATCACTGGGACCAAAAAGAAGTAATTTCCGAAGAAGCTTCAGTAATTAGTTCAGTAGATAGAGATAATGCTAATAATAAAAGTTCTAAAGAAGTTATTAAAAGTAAAGAAAGCGATGTTGTTTCCGACATTCCTGTTGCAAGTCAACCAAAAGACAATAATGATGACCAATCTAGTTCAAATAATGAAGATGCAGTGTTTGAGACTGCGCTGGATAATAACGATAAAGAATCCGTAGATAGAGAAATGAAAGGCGCAATAACTACAATTTTAGATGAACACACCGATGCTACTAGCCTTGATACCTATATAAACGACAATGACTCTGCCGAAAGTGACGACGAAGCGTCTTTTGGGACACCCGAAGATTCTCCTAAGAGCAAAAGAAAAATTCCGAAAGGAAAATATGGCAAAAGCAAGGCGCCACCACCACCCCCCAAAGTTGATGCGGAAGACGTAGCGCACAATGATATTAAAGAAACTTTTAGTAAATCGGAGACAGATACAGCTTTAAAAATGGCGACGTCCCAAGAAAGTTTAAATGATATTGTAAATAAACTACCAAATACAACCATTAAAGAATCTGGATCATCTAAAAACCTTCAAATTGTTAATCCCATAGCCGAAAACAAGAAGAGGCATAAATCAAAATCGCCAGCTCGAGTTCCAAAAGGCAACAGTTCAGGATTAGGAAAACTATTACAGTTGCCAGGCAAGTTTGCTTTTTGGCATAAGACTGAAGAGAAACCAAAAGTAGATGAAACATCAACCTCATCGGATGATCACAGTCGAAGGTCATCAACTATTGAAAGGGGTGTTGATGACTTTCAGGATTGTACGGAATTGAACACTGATGTAGGCACTGATGAAGTAAAACCTAACGATGTACCGCAGATAAAAAAATCAGATGATCAAATTAGTTTCAAAGATGCATCTGGTTTAGATGAGGAAGTCTTATCCCAAAATATTATAGATAAGAGTGATGCTCTGCAGAAACTCATTGAAGCTAAGATAGCTGGTCATCCAGAATATAAATTTATATCATTACACGAAGAAACGCCCACTTCGTCGAAAAGTACAGACGTGTAGGGCTATCCTAAACTCCTAAGCCCGCTTTTATTTGCAGCTGAAGTTAGACAAAACAGTATGTTTATTTTAGTTTCGTTTTGTGAGTGTTATTTACATGCATGGATTTAGTTTGTTCGCCTTTTATAACAATACTACACCAAAATTAATCACAAAATGTACTTTACACCTAAGCAAATGCTTGACCTTTTATAATGAGTGTAGTGTTGTATTTTATTTATGTTTTTATATTTATTTAAATCAATGTTTCCTAATCCTGTGTAAACACTGACATCCTAAGCCAATTTATAACTCTATGTGTAATATGGTTGCACTTTTAGTAACTGTTAAAACTTTTTAGTGGACTGAGTGTTAAAGGATTGCCACCATCTTCTACTACAAATGAGTAGTGCTTGTGCTTTTTTGAGTTAGTTATCAATTTACTCCTTTTATTTTCAGGCAATGCTGACGGCCTCTGCTACCATTCCTCGCGCAAAAAAATCTAATAAAAGGAAAACACAGTAGATTGTATCCAAATAAATATTACGTTATCCTTCTAGCCGAGCTTCGTGCAAGAACGATTTATGCTCTCTATATTCTGGAAACTGAATTTTATTTCAATAGCATAATATTTGAAGTAAACATAAAATGTGCAGCTATTAGGGAGCATAATGTTTTTCCAATCTTCCGCGCTTTTAGAAGCAGTGACATTGTTAAATGTATACTATTTACCTACACCACATTGGCCAAAGGTAGACCTGCATGCGAATCTCACTTAGATGTTAATTTCATGATCGGTATTTAGTGATTGCTAATATATGAAAGATATGGTTTAACTCAACTGATTGAATGGTCCTTCTTACAAGTATATACCTAATACGTATTGTTTGACATAAGTAATTTCGTAAAAAACTATTTCCTGGCTATGGTTTCTTAGCCAACGGTTAGTCAAATAACTTGTATTTTCGCGACTGCCATTAGCATTATTATTATTATTCCTCCAAGAAAATAAAATCGAATCAATTTTTTTAGTACATAAGATGGCTTCCAGATACGGTTTTTTCAATTGATGCAAATTGATTTCGATTGAATTTATGCTGATCTCAACCAAGTCGCGATGATTTGAATAATAAGTAAAACTCAACGATGACTAACCGTCTTATTTAATATATTAGGCATTAAATGCGTGATTGTTTTTATTGATATTATTTATGAGATACAAATTCTCAATAATTCTCCTTCTACTCTTTGCCAGTATTTACATTAGTTTTGATGGCTATGTCATTGAGAATCTTTTAAAGAAATTGTGTAAAAGTGAAGTTAGTCAATCCTTACTATAGAGTCATAGTGACCAAGAGGCCGTAACAATAGGACATATCAGTCCTACATATATACTATAATAGTATTACTAAGCAATGTTACCCAAATATTACTGTAATACCAAGTTCGTTATCGGTAATTTATAATTTTAGCCAAAAATTGCCAAATTGACACTAAACGACTCGACAATTAGCAGAAGTTATTTTGTATTAGTCATATTTATTATAGAATTAGTTTATAGAAAAATAAAACTAGTCGTTAATAATGAATTTAATTGATAAACAGCTTCAATGAGGCTTCATATCGGAATTGTATGAGATTGTCAAGCGAAATGCAGTAAGGCAAAAATTATAAAATCACTAAATGGAGTTTGCTTTGAATAATAAAGCATTTGCTTAATCTAATGAAGTTTTACAGATATTCTATTATGAAACCCTGGTTTTGTGATACCGAATTTGAGCTCATTTACACCAGGATTATAGATAAGAGAAAAGTACAGCACAAATTGCAAATAATGTGGAATATTTAATAAAGATTTATTTTTACAAATCACTACAAAAGGTATGTCCCTTGTTCTCAGAATATTGTAAAAGTTCCTCGTATAATTATTTACTGATAACTTGTAATTCAATAATTATTATGAAGGTAATAAGTTGATTGAAGTTTTAGTAACACAATATGTCAATACTTCCAAATTAGTTGGTTGTGCAGCTAGCATTTTGTATCCTTTTCAATGGAATGTTACTGCATTTTTATTAACTTGATGTTACCCTATAATTTTGTTACCTCGTCGTTATATAAAAGTGTATATTTATTTACTAGTTGACTGTCACATTTTTGCGTAATAATTTGTGTTTGAGTTTATTGAAATAAATGACTATCATAATTATAGATTATACTTTTATTTCGTCCTTAAAGTAATATACTTAAAGTACACTTATTAAATTTCACCTGATTTCAATTTTAATGTTTCAAATATGTAGTTGTTATAATCACTTTTATAGACACTATTTATTATTTGATCTCTAAGTAAATTTAGAGTCTCATCATCCCATTTTTTAACATAGTACAGCAGTGAAAATAACTTGTAATAGCTACTTTGATTACTGTCTACATCAGATATAATAATGTCGGGCAGATTTTGTACTATTTCTAATAACTTTGGCCTAACAACCATATTGAATGTATGGTTATTTCTAACAGCAAACTTGTGAAGGATGTCTACCGTTTGAACAGACACTGTTTTCTCCAGCAAAATATCCGGCAGATTTTTTACCCAAGTGTTGTAAGCATCACAATCATGGAAATGACCCAGCTTTTCATTCAGGGCAATCTTACATAAAAGGCTAAATATCTTTTGTCTAAATGAGCTAGACAATTCCTTATTAAAATATGCCCAAACAATCTTTTGAAACAGATCGTTCATCACTGAAATAGTTCTGGTCCAATTATTTACTTCATTTGAAAATATTGTGTGTAAAATCTTAATGATTATGTCATTAATTTCAGCTTGAGTGTTCTTATTAAAAGTTTTCTCAATATACTTCAGTACGGACACAACATCCTTGTTTTGGATTTTCACATTAATGTTTGGATTTAGTAAAATAAACAGTTCACATATTACCAAATTCTGGGCAACTAACTTGGGGTCTGTGATAGTGTTTTCAAATTCTGAACTTGTTACATTTCTTTGTTTGGTCCTTATATTCGTTACATAAGGGAAAGCATTGACAAAGTGTTGTAAATATGGCTGCCTGTATTTTTGTGAAAATGTATGCTGTATGTTAGAGCTTGGGCTTTTTATGTTGAAATGTTTAACAAGTGACCAGATCAATGATATGACATCTAGGGTGTGGTTGAGTAAGGCAGCTGCATCTTCAGTGACTACGGTTTCAATGTTTTTCTCTGAACTGACATTAGGACATACTTCCAACCATGTTTCAAATAACAAAGGCATCAAAGTGTCAGTATATTCTCTGAATTTTTCAACTTCATCCAATGGCACTGTTTCCTGCAGGTTTTTAGAAGAGAAGCAAGATAGTGGACACTTCTGTATGTAACTTGGATTAAACAAAGAATAGTGGTTCATTTTAGAGGCATCAAATATCTTGGTTGTGTCAGCAACTGGTCCTTCATAATCTTGAATTTTGTTGTATTTCACAAACTCTTGAAGGTAGTCTTTGAGGCGGTGTAATACTTTGACTCTCCATTTCACACTAGTAATTTGGCTTCCCAAATTAACGGTTAGTGTTCTTCCTGGCTTTGAATCAACCCTTAACTTTGATATCATGTCTAGGAAGTTTGGTATTATTTTGTGGAAATCCTGTGCAACTTTTACAGGTGTACACAAGAGTAGAGTATCCAGAAACAGTAGGGAATCCTCTTGTATTCTGCCATCTATGTGAGTCATAGCACTCCTTAGATAAGTACACATTATGTCGAAAAAGGGATCAATCCTTTCTATATTTGCTTTTGAAAGGATTACATGTAAAGTCTTCAAGGATTCATGTCGTACCTGAAAACAATTTAAATATTTAGTAAGAACATGTACAACACACAGGTTTGTGTTCATTAAATATTATGATAAAATTCTGTGTTAAGTTTTTTTAAATATATATTTTTTATATTTGATGGGTTGACATTTGGTCACTGTCTAACTATCGCTATTCAGTGTATTAACTCGTCGAGTACCGGTTTTGTAGACAGTTATAGAACAATAGGTTGCGGTCACCGGTGACCGCTTGGTATTTGACAGTTTAAAGTCTTAGGTACTTAATTTAGAATTAATAACTTACAACTTTCTCAATATTCAATACTAAGGGTGTTACTCCATGAACTAATTCTCCTAGATTGGTTTCCAATACTTCAGGATGAAATTCAATGAGCTCTTTTATTCCATTTAGTGCATCAGTCCGAGAGTGAGTGTTGAAATGGTTGAGACGTGACAGCAGTTCCTTTAAATTAAGTTTTCTTGTGGATAATGCTTCTGCTTCACCATGCTTTTTCAGCTGTTCTCTTAGCACGATTTTCTTTACTTTAAAGTTCGTCTTGGTAACATTTGTACCTTTTGGAAGTTCCTTGTTTTTACCTTTTAATTTTGTTTTGGACTTCTCTGATTTAAGAAATTTTTGCCGTCGGGTTGCTCCTGTTTGAGGCATTTTATTTTTTAAGGTTATTCAAGGAATACACGAACAAATCCAATTATCACAACATAACCTATAATATTAAAGAATGAGATTTGTTTGACGTTTGATCACGTTTGACATGCATAATCATGTCATCATTTTTAAACTAAACGCTACGTTCAGTTCAGTTTGTGAATTTGTAATTAATGTTTCACGATGAAGTATTTCTTATTTCCAGTAATAAATTTCTTATATTTAGGTTTGGGTTCAGCAATCATACTTTGGTGAGATAAATCACTTTATAAATGTGATTTTATATCTCAGATAAACGTTTTCAAACCTCAGATACGACCTTCAAACCTTCAAGAGAAGAGCGTACTCCTTTTTAAAGGGCCGGCAACGCACCTGTGACTCTTCTGGTGTTGCGGGTGTCCATGGGCGGCGCTGATCGCTTACCATCAGGTGATCCGTCTGCTCGTTTGCCTCCTATTCCATAAAAAAAAAAAAGTAGTGTTCAATTACGTATCTAACCTGTCATTTGCCATATCTGTCAAGTGTAAATTTTGGCAAACAATTAACAAACTGTCAAATTCTCACGTGGAACGTGGTGTTGTGCTGTTGTGGTATATTCAAACTGACTAAATTAATTTATTTGTATATTTCAAGTCAAATATAATTCAAAATGAAAATCAAGAAGCAGCACCGTAAAAAGAAATATCTTCACAAACTTAATCGGAAACGAATGCATCTTAAACAACGAAGCACTGGCGAAGTTAATTGGTTAGAATGCGTGTTATATTGCTTTTGCCATTATTGACTAATAATTATGTATTATAATATTCATCATTAAATTTACAGTAAACCAATAAAGGATGCATGGGATTTTAAGAAGTCTTCTCTTCGTAACATGAAAGAAATGGGTCTTGCCAATGATCCCAATAAAGTCATAAAAATACCAAATTTCAAACAAGAGAAAGTGAAACAGGCTAAGAAGATAATAAATCAAGAAGAATCTGACGAAGATAGTGAGGAAGAGGAAGTAGTTCAACCAGTAGTAAAAAAGGAAGTAGTTGAAATGTTAGAGAAAGAAGCTAGAGCTCCACGACCAAGGAGATTCATGTAAGTTAATGTTTATTTTTTTTTTAATTTAGTTTTTAATTACATAAAGTAATTCCATTCTAATTCTAAATATATCAATTAATTTATCCACCTTGTACAATTATTGAAAATGAACTCTATAGTTTCATAACAATTTGTAACTTTACTCTCTTTATTTCAGGTTGCCTAAAGGACAAGTTGAATTTATAACATATTTACTAGATAAATATGGTCATGATTACAAAGCTATGGAAAGAGATAAGAAAAACTATTACCAAGAGACCTGGAAACAGTTGAGAGCTAAAATAAAAACATTTATGGGCATTCCTAAACAGTATGGGGAATATTTAGCTTCCAAAGGTTTACTTGACAAAGACGATGATGATGAGGAATTGAAGAAAATAGCAAAAAGTTTAGTTGTTGATGATTAGTCTGTAGAAATATTTTAATAAGTGCTTGATTCTCTATTTTTGGAGTATCATTAAGGTGTATTTTTCAGTGTAAATAAAATAATTTTAAGGACAACTTTTGTTTCATTTTTAGCTTTTACTCATATATTTGTTACTAGCTTTTACCTGCGGCTTCGCTCGCGTCACAAAAAGATAAAAAGTAGCCTATGTGACTATCCATCCCTTCAACTACCGTCAATTAAAAAATCACGTAAAGTACTTCCGTTTTGGCGTTAAGACAGGACAGACAAGACGTAGACAGGCAAACAAACAAACAGCTGTTCGCTCGCGTGGAATTCGGTTATATCGCTCTTTTTAGATTTTTCCTGAATGAGAAGATCTGCCGCGGTAAATCCTTGCTTTTCCAGGACTATAATTACCTTTATACCAAATGTCTTTAAAATCCGTTTAGCTACTTAGCGTAAAAGAACTGTTGTTCTTACACGCTAAATGTTTCTGTTGAAGAAGTTCTTTTCGCATTACCGCAAATACCATCCACCCATTTTAATTTAAAAGACTTCTATTTTCATTTGCAATGTTAAATCAAAACTGAGTGGTAAACTATATTATACGTTTTAGAATCGAAAACCTAACTGTTTTAGACATCTACTTAGACATAAACCAAACCACTTCATCTAAACTAACTAATCTATACTAATATTATAAAGGGGAAAGATTTGTATTTTTGTATGTTTGTAATGAATAAACTCAAAAAATACTGGACCGATTGCAATAATTATTTCACCATTAGAAAGCTGCATTATTCAGAAGTAACATAGGCTATATAATATCACGCTAGGTCCTATAGTTGTGGAGCAGTAACCAAAAATGTTTTAAAAACGGGGGAAAAGTATCGTTTCTGAGGCCTTCCGTGGCGTGCGCTGAGCATAAAGTTAAAGTTATACAAAAATGCTCTATAGATGAATTGTTCATCTTAACATTATTTTTAAAAAAGTCCGCGAGAGCATATGTCTACCTTTTATAGTTTACCCATAAACAATCGTTTTAATGAATGGTTCAAATGTAAAAAAGCAATTTAAAAACAAACTTACCTCAACCAAAACAAACAACAACAAAATAGGTAGGTTCCTATTTAAGAAGAAAATAATTAATTAAATAAATGAAATCAGTAAATGAAGTCCGGAAAAATATTTTCAAAAGGTAAATACTTCTTAAATAAAAAAACTGAGAATAAATAAAACGTAAAACTATGTATAAAACCTTAAGTCCCCCCGTGCGAAGCCGGGACGGGCCGCTAGTAATAGGTAAATAAGAACGGTAAAATGGGGTGAGTGGGGGTCGAGAGGTGAATAGAGACAGAAGAGGGGTGGATCGATACCATGAAGAATTTCTCAATATCTATTCTCCCCTCTTCTGTCTCTATTCAACTCTCAATCCCTATTTTACGGAACCTATACTTTTGCCGATAACGAAACCATAGCGCCATCTATCCCGATCTTAACGCCATCTATCGAGCGTTGAAATAACAGCGTACAATATATTTGGTAATTGTTGAGTATTGTTGCCGCTATGATTTCGTGTATCTTTAACAACCTAAAATCTATAAAATACGCAATTTAATGTTAATTGAATGTAAAATGGTTGTAACCAAAATTTAAAAGCGAAAAATACTTAAAACCATAACGCTACCCCGTTTAATAAACAGTCAGCGCCATCTATCGCCAACTTGCATAACTACGACATAGACACCAATTTCGTGTACCTTTAACAACCAAAATCTATATGATACGCAATTTAATGTAAAATGATTGTGACTAAAATTTAAAAGCGAAAAATACCTAAAAAACAACGCTACCTCGTATGATTATCATTCAGCGCCATCTGTCGCCAAGTAGCGTAACTACTACATAGACTCCAATTTTGTGTACCTTTAACAACCTCAAATCTATAAAATACACAATTCAATGTAAAATGGTAGGAATCAAACTTTTAAAACGAAAAGTACTTAAAAACAACAATACCCCGTTCTATAAATAAACACTCAGCGCCATCTATCGCCAAGTAGCGTAACTACTACACAACGTTGCCACGTTGTTTTTTTAAGTATTTTTACATATAAAACAGCAAATAAATAAGTCGAAAAATGCACCGAATGTGCTATACATTAAAACATGCAATTTACAATTCGTAGGTAATTCGTTGAATTGTTTTAAATGGCATCCAAGCTCCATCTATACGAATACACACAGCGCCATCTATACTAATATTTTTGTTTTCGCTCGGGAATATCACATTTTTCCGGGATAAAAGTACTCTATGATTTAATATGGACTTTAAACTTCAAAGCAATCGGTTTAGTAGTTACGGCGTGAAGGCAGAATAAACAAACAAACTCACCTGCCCATTTATAATATTAGTAAGAACTGTAAGAATGCATACAGTACTGCCTCATTGGCAGAGTGGTCGCAAGTGCGACTGCTGGGCAAGGGGTCTCGGGTCCGGCAAAGTATTACTGGGTTTTAAAAAAAAATCCCAGTAGTAGCAAGGAGTGTACAGTGGCATAATGTGCACCTCTGCCTACCCCTTCGGGCATAAAAGGCGTGATGATGTTTGTTATGTATGCATATAGTATTACATTTTAGGATGAACATCATTCTTTATTGTTATCAGCCAAGACTTCTACTATATAGGTACCTATTGAACAAAGACCTCTCCATTAGTCCTCAGTAGAAAGTCCTTTACTTGATTTAAAACATGACAAATAAAACAGATTTGAACTATATCATAATGTTAAAGTTTTATTGTGTTTTGCAATCATTCGGGATATCTTTGATAGGCTTCACTCTGTTCAGCTCTAGATACCACTCTTTATCCATGTCCAACAGCTGCTGAGGTTTTTTGTACTGAAAAAAGAAAAAAGTATATTAATAAGTATTAAAATTCTACTTCAAGAACCTTTTTAGACGGTCATATTTGTAAACTTCGAGTATGCAGAAGATCTATAAATACAATAACGGGGAGTACCTATATTCTATATATTTTTAACTTACTGCAATAATCAATGTATTGAATGAATGACTGCATTGTATATTCCCTTGTTCTATGGGTAAGTTTAGTCGGTCTAATTCAGGTACTTGTAGCCTTTTGAAGTATTTTTTATTGGTTGTCCGGATAACAATACATCTTTCATCATTGTTGGCACTAACAGAATATGTTTCAATAGGATATGGTAAGTTTCGGATTCTCCATTCCAAGTTTATTCTTGTGTTGCGTCTTGTTAATTTTGGCTGGAATAGAAAAATAGAAAAGTAAATTTAAAATAAAATTAGACTGTTAAGACATTACGTGCGGATGGTATCTATACCTTGATCTCTATGATCATCTATCATATTATGTTCCGCAGAATTGTTTGATATGATATGTTTACCAGCTTATGCCATAAAAACAAAAACAAAAAAATATGATGCCCATGGCCACTTTCTATCATTGCACTGATCGCCATCGACAGGGAATTCATGCTCACAATTTGGAGCCCACGTCCCATACAGTTCGGTTTCAGAGGAATTTCTCCCATGGACCCCTCGATTATGAAATGAACTCACTGCCGAAGCTTTCCTAGTGAGCTACAACATAGGCTTCTTCAAGAGGGGAGTGGAATAGGTTTCTAAAGGGTCGGCAAGACGCATGTTATGCCCCAAGTGTTGCAAGCGTACATAGGCCACGGTAACCGCTTACCATCAGTTGGGCCGTGTGCTTTGTTGCTACCGTTGTAGAATAAAAAAATATATACCTGATCCTTACTCTCCATGAAGTCAGCACCAATTCCTTCAATGTGAGGAGTTGCATCAGGCATTGGATCGCCAATTTCTACATCCCATTTTCCCTCTCCCCCAAGTTTTCCCTTTACTTTCCAAGCGCGGCGCAATAAAACCTGCGTGTCTACATTATACTCTTCCACCATCTCCTTGTCATCTTGAAACTTATAATGAATCTTTTTTAATTTATCCTCCTTAAGACATGACTTCTCCGCATCCAGCAGCGAGCGATACCAAATTGTATTCCTAAACATTTTCGAACTATTATTACCTTCGATAAAACTAGTTTTAATACGTTTCGATGAGCAATCAAAATCTTCACAGACTTCGATCAAACAATTACTTCTTTTCATAATGTTTCTATAGCAACGAATTATAATTATCGCTCATATTTTAGCGATCAAACTTCGTGGTATCGTATTATAACCTACTTAAATCCATGCTGTGAAGTTTGAAAAAATAAACAATGTATTAATTTGGTAGGTATTAAGTTATTATAATGCAATGTAGCCTAAAGTTCACTTGATTCTATCGTCCTCTAATTAATTATTACAATAATTTTCAAAAAGTAACTTATTATCTAAAGAGGATCACATAATAAACAAAAACAATACCACAACACAAGCATAGGCAATTTTCTTTGTCAAAAAAAAACATTAAAATAGTTTGTTGTCTGTGGTCATAGTTGATTTTTTACATGACTTGCTTTTGCATTCTTCAAATACAAGACACATTCAAATATTTAATACGAATTAAATTGTACATAATCTATTTTATTAAAAATATAAAATATCTTCAACATTCGAAAGACAGAATTTCTGGACGAATATAAAATGGCATGGCATGTCAAAATTGTCAATGTCAAGTGATTGAATGTTAATGTATGTAAACTCGTAGAGGTTATGTTATGTGTCATTGTTACGTTTAGTATAGTAAAATAATAAATATAAGTTCAGTTTTCTAAATTATTTTATGTATTAACTACTATAATTTAGCATAAACATCTTAGTAAATATGCCTGCTATCCCCGACAGGTCAGTATTATTTTTAATCGCAAAAGGGAAATGTGTTGACACCATTAGCATTGTAGTGTATATTTTGTGGTTTAATTTCAGATGGATCCCGTATAAAGCTTGTGGAAAGGTTATTGAAGGTACCAGATTGATATGTTTTAAGGTACCACTTAGGAAGGTACGTACAACATTTTGCTATTATACTGGAACATATGAAAACAAAAGCTATACCTACATAAGCTATATCAATACACTCCTCGAATCCGAGATAAATAGAGCATCTATTGTATAAACTGATTAATTTGTAGTCTAGTCTAATTTTAGTTCATATTGCAACCTTATTTGATTATGTACAAATAGACAGTAGAATACTCCTACACTGAAAACACGCAGTTGCCATGCAGCAACTGTTGAATAATTTCTAATAATGTATTAAATTTTGTTTTATGATGAATTGACCTGTAAATATTTTCTTCTCATTTAAGTAAATACATAATTAACGAAAGTCATAGTATACATATTAACTTCTTATCTGCATATGAGACACAATAGATAACACATTGTGTCTCGCGTATATCTACGCTCCCGGCATACCAGGGGTTAAGCATTCCAGCTGCGTTTCTATCAAAGTTATTGGTAAATATTGTAGTGTAAAATATATATGTATAATATGTTGAAGAATGATTTGGTATTTTTAATAATGAATCGCAATATTTACAAATACCAATTTTTCATTGAGTAATTTATAAAACAAGAAATACATGAAATAGTGACTAATACATTTATATTGTAGTCAGTTTTAAATGAATAACAATTAGTAAAAATTCATTCAAACAACACAAAACTGATGAATAAGTTATATTTTTAATAAAAAATCTCCTGAAAATGTTTCTTTAACAAACCTGTTGTGACTTATTTTTGTAACAGTGCCATCTATTATTTGTTTTTAACACCTGTTGTAAAGTTTCCCGCTGTTTGCTTTAGATGGCGTTATAAACCTAAAATAAAACCATCATAAGTTTTGTGTTGTGGTAAATGTAAGGTTACATTTACACACATTTTAAATATTATCTAAAATAACTTTTGGTCGTCTTTGTCTCGTATTATTATTTTGGGTGAGTATTTTATTATTTTACGACATTTAATTTAGACACCGTCTATCTAACATGAATCGGTCAGACAAACAATTGAGAAGAATCTGATATCGTAATTAGCAGTAAGAAATCTATGCAGATAGAATTATGCGGATGCCTTATTACTCCTTGACGAGACATTTTAATTCGATAGATATTCTCTAAGAATGAAAATGACAGTCCCATAAAACTATACTTAAAATGGTAGCATTTGCACCTGCATTAGCAGAGGTAAGCCGACAATGAAATGCATTATTGGTTCATAAGCGCGACGCACAATGCGTGTTTGTATAACTGTCCGTCTGCCTGGGCGTTCACTTGACCGTACCACAGTTAGATGGCAAACAGACTCGGCGATCTGTGTTAATTTGTTCTGCATAGCGCTTGCATCGCGGCGATATCAGAAGAGTGTTTGCGTTCCCTCTCGAGATCGCACGATAATCGATCGGTCCGGGAGATCGATTTATTTGCGCGCGTAAATGTTTCAGTGGGCCAAGCACCTGCAAACGAAGATTACTTTTTGAACTGACGTGCGGACACAATTTGTCTATTCGTATTTTTTTTTCGTGTCAGTTCTAATAATTTGACACTATCTAAATCCTGTTCTATTTCACGTACAGTTTTCAAAACTTTTATTCCTAGCTAAAACTTCACGCATGTTATGTTATGACCAGCCCATTTGTGCCTCATGCATCTTTACCTATAGAAATTGCTAAGTATAATAAGAAAATTATAAAGTAGTGAAGGTTGCTACACTGCTATTTAAATCAAAAGCTCTTGTAACAAGCGTCCTTACTGCATCTAAGAGAACGAAACATGAAAGTCAATGGAACAGCACTTTCTTCTCTTATGTTTAATCTGTAGGAAGTCCTCCAGGTTTCGCCACTTGACATAAAAGATTAATATTACGCCGTATCAGCCTCCATATTTGTTGAAACTGTAGGTTTAACTCGCCACATTATTGTTACAGTCAACAAAATATTCTGGGTAATACAAGTACTTGGTGCCTTAATCGAGGTGTTTGAGCAATGTTTCAAGAAAGAAATGATGGAAATTATGGTGAAACATTTTTAAGTTTGTTTGCACCAGTTTGTTCAGACATGTCGTCTAGTTTGTGTCAAAAGTTTACTTTCGTGTACCAATTCACACACCTAACCTCTTTGGAACACACATGAGTCCGAGAAAGTGTATACGAATTCTAGAGACCTCTGCAAATGAGTGAAGTTAAAAGTTAATTAAATTCTCTGAAGAATACTTCGCATGAATATTTTGACAATGCTTACTCCACAGATATAATAAAGTCCATTGCGCAGCCAGTCTTGTCAACTATGCGGTCAGAGCTTGACACTGGGATAACGCGCATAGCATTGTACGCGTTTATCCCGAACCGAGTATTCGAACTTAATAAAAGAAGCTAATCGTAAATAAATGTGCTTGGCAAAAAGGAACATACTATGTAAATTGTAATAAGCGCAGAAAAATTAAGAGCCATCGAAATCTTAATCATTCACCAGCTACGACAATGTCTATAGTCAGCAAATCATAATAACCGGTGTATTATTGAATTGGATAATTTCTGATTAAAATCATATCGTTTTGTGAATAGTTTGCTATTGGGCGAAACCACTGGGAACTATACATACAAACTATACATACTGGGTTCCTATTCGCAAATGTACACCGTACGGTCATGCAATGGTTTTTTGATTTCACCCTTAGGCTTTATATTGAACGTGTTAGATAAATAGAACCTTTGTGACCCATATTCAGGATATTGTCGAATTAGTTCAGATTTAAGTAACGTTATAGGTTTGCCAACATTTCCTACTTGAACTTGAATATTATGGGATTAAGATTTATTCAAGCTATTTTTAAGTTTGAAGATTTACTTTCGTCACAAATATTTCGGCTTTATTTGCCGAACCTCGTGTCATAATATTTGTTTGTTACAAAAGAAACGTGTCCCAACATCGAAAGGACTAATCCCGTATTTGATAAACCAGCGGGTGCCTCGCACGCCTCTCTATGAATACTTGATTCTTTTTATCTACACATCTTTTGATTTTTTTTCGAAATATAGCTCTTTATACGGTATCCGTGGCGCTTTGATTCCGTTTCTTTATTCAACGGTATCTAGCTATAAATTTAGATAGTTTTGTTCTCTTTGAGTTATAAAGGGTATTACGTTAATGGCAATCGGTAGGTGTAATTTGATATCATTCATGGATCCACAACTGTTACTTTAGTATGATTAACTATCGAACTTTAATTTCACATCGTTAAGCTGAATTCTTTATATATCTTGTTATCTGAACGCATATTCTGAGAAATTCTAACCATCTGCGAATTAGTTTTGCTTTATTACAATATTTTTAGAACGTTTTTCATTCAAGACGTTTCTATCATAGGAAACGTTTTTCATATTGGTATATTCTACCGCCTTTGAAGACCGTTTAGTCACATTTTTTTCGTTTTCATTATAATTATGATGAATGGTGACAGTTACAAGGGCGTTCGCTATTCATTCAGGTGGCAGATGGCACCTTTTCGGCTTGTCATTTATTTGGTTGTACCTACATACAGCTCGGTGCTTGACTCGACATTTGAGTGAGAGTTTATTAGTGTTGAAAGATGTTTAATATTCCTCGTGCTGTTGATACTGCTGTGATCAGTATTTCTTTTGATACCGTGTCGTGTTTTGACTTTCATCAGTAAGAGCGATGTATTGAACAGATGCCAGACGTAACACATTGTATCAATCAGTCAAATATTTCATCGTCTTAACCATAACAATATTTTCTTTTCGCAATGTATTTTTACGATATCACCTCTAGGGCTGGCGAACACAATTGGTCTGTGACTTTGTTGTACGCTCATGTTTTCATTATACACACAAGAACATATATAAAGTTTAAGCGACAACCATTTCTTATTGCGGTCGCGGTAATTTTGTTTTGACCAGATGTATGAGTAGAGCCCAAGAAAAATAAACATGTCTTCTCCTTTTATATATTTGCCTGCATTTGATAATGTTCTGTAATGTCGACCAGACCTGGACCTCCCACACCTGAAATGTTATCTCTCTTCAAACAATTAGAAAGAAACTATTACCTTCGACTTTAGTGTGAAGGTGTCAATCGGTAATGCATTATCCGATTTAATGTTATTGACCGATATCTCACATCTAATCGATTTAGTGGGTAATTGCTATGCGCTTGTAATAGCTAAGAAACTAAATCGGTGTCAATATCTACTCGTCTCGAGTTTAATGTGTAATGTGTGGTCCTATGAACTTTTAAAAAATAATGTTGAAAAGAGCCCTTTGAAGGTATATTCGATTCAGAAAAATCTCAGAGCTAAATGTGTCCCCTTCAAAATATATTGTATGTCTGGTTTTGTTTTACATTCTGACTGTTATGACAGCAAACCATAATAAGACATGATTATTACAAAGTTATCTTTTGTAGTATCGAATTTCAATTTTTGTCCTTTTATGATCTGAATGCCAGGATTTACTTTTATTACTTTGTTTAGGAATGTCTAATAGTTTTATAGCATTAAAAATATTTGGTTAATCTTCAAACGAGTTAACATAATTTTAAGGTTTTTGTATTGACCGACATTATCGAGCCGTGATTGGTCTACAACGCTTCATTTCTACATTTTATAGGACATCCCACTTCAGTATCGGTGTGGAAATCGGGATTGGTGTTGCATTTCTGTGGCCATCAGGCCAAATAAAAAAGTCATAAAACGATGACAGGCTTGGGAACACGGGGTAGTAATGTAGGTCGATATCGGCTGTTTATTTTATTGAGCCGACAACAGCGAAAGCTCCACTACGTTGCACTTATCGTTTATCGACATGTAATGATATAGCGTTACACGCTCGTAAAACGAACTAAAAACTAGTCCGACCTCCGCCGTATTAAGGTCGGGTTGAATTAGTTCTCGCACCGTGTTGAATATTCATTAGGGTGTAAAGGATTCAGTAATTAATAAAGAAACCGACCGAGCGTCAGTAACGAAGGTGTTACGAGCGGAC